GATCATCCAATAAATGGATTAGCTACCACATAATGGTGCCCAGTTATTTCTGTTGTCAGATAAAGATGGAGATAAAAAAAGGCAGACAGAATAGTCCCTTGCTGCCAATAGCTATCATTACTAGTGCTTTTGCTGTATCTTATAAAGTTGGATAACAAACCATCCTTCAGCTGCACTGTCAGTTTATGGATTTTATTTAGCTAGCAAGGGTGAAATGACACAGTTAGGTAGAAGACTGGTGAGTCAATTCTTGGGAACTATTGACTAAGAACTGTCTGTCAGAATCTTATCTAAAAATGAAGTAGCATGGTATTGCTTATTAGTTACTGGGGAGGGGGTCTCCCCACCTCCCAGAAACACCTGCATTCACCCCACCACAATCATTATCTGTATTTGGTACTTTAAAGTCTGTAATCTGTAGTTTACATTGTATTAACCAAAATGTGATTTATCATTCCTCTAGTTTGTGGTAGAAACAAAGATCTCTCAGACTGCTGAGTTTGCATCAAGATCTGTGTTCTCAACTTCCTACTGTTCATGTGAAATTATAAATATTAAAAGAAAATTGTGTAACTGTTAACAAGATAATTAGTTTTATAATCTAATTGGTTAACAATTCTGTAACAAGTTCTAACCACACTGACCATTAATTCAAACATTTATTTTCATGATTAATCCATTTAAAAAAATTTCAAATTTAATTAACTTAAAAAAAGAGGAAGCATTAATAAACTTGCTATTCTTAGGAATAGCAGTTAATGTGATCAGCTAATTTTCATATATATATATATATATATATATATATATATATATATATATATATATAATAATATGTGTGTGTGTAGGATGCAGTGGATAAATTTTCATCTAAATTACACAAAAATGAAAATAGCACTGACATCTCGTTTTAACAGATATATTTTCCAAAATTACACAAAAATTCAATATAATTGCCACTGGCTTCAACCATGGCCTCCAAATGACTTTGAAATCTCCTGCAACTCTTCTGAACTTGTTTAAGATGGTGAATGCTGACATAATTTTTGCCTTCAGTTCATCTTTGGTGTTACAAGGAGTTTTGTTGGTCTCTCATACAACTTCACCTCATACAAAATAATCAGGGGGTTTGCAGTCTGAAGAGTTAGGTGGCCAGATATAAGGGGTGATGGGGTCTCAGAAATCATCTGACTGTCATGACTAAGTATGGCATGGTGCAGAGTACTGTTGCCAGACAGGGTCTTAGAGCAGCTGCCTTCTTGACCCAGGGCAGCATTACCTCTTCTGCTGTGAATGCCAAGCAGTACAGCATGCCATTTCCAGATTTCTAGCAAAGTGAATTGTGTCATGGTGCTCTTTTTCTCAAAGATGGTGCCTAACTGACCCTACTATAGTCTGCAGTTGACAAAATCAAAAACAAACAATGCACATGTGCAAAATTTAAAACATAGAATGGCTTATTTTCCTTGCTGTTTGTGTTGAAGATGTGATATTAATTTTATATAGCCTAGACGATATATATTTTGTTTTCAATAGTGGTGATATATCCTTTTCATGCCAGGCAATAACTTTTTCAACAGATTGTTGAAAAAGGTTAAACAGCAGTGGGTGTTAACATATAGATTAAGAGATGTGTTAAATTATTCATCTAACATTGCATTACAAACTTTAAATGCTACTAGATATCCTCCACATCACAACCGTATTAAATTGCAAATAAGTAATATTGAAAGTTAATATCTACTTTATAAATTTTGAATGTATGTTGACTTTAATATAGCAAGATTCGAAGCATGCGTGTGTATATATATATCTGGGTAGCACTCACTCTTTTATAGAAGTTTTACTGACTTAAAGACTGTTGAAAATGTACTGTGACCATGTCTGGAAAATAACATTCCCATCACTATAGATACACATATATAAAAATCTACATATTCAATTAAAAAAAAATGATAATAATACAATGACTAATAGAAAAGCTGAAAGCACTCGGATATATAGAATCTTTGGGCAGTTTTTACACATTTTATATGCAGAAAAGAAAATACTTTTATGAATGTTAAGAAAAAAAAGGGGGGCTTGTCAGTCATCTTTAATAAAACTTAATGTTCACCAAATACAAGTGTCTCTCAAAGTAGAGGGATACTGTTAAATAGTAATGATGGATAATATTAACTGACCTTTGACTTGAAAAGGTTAAGATTGTAGTGCTCATAGTAGCATGGTAGTTCATAAAGTGACACTTCTGATTTGAACTTCTTACCTTAAGAAACTGGAGAAAATGAGGCTGATTCAACCCTGTGGACATAACATGGTGTGTCTTAGCTAATGAAACTGAAGAACAACTAAGTTTATCTGAACATTTACCATAAAAATAGCAATAGAGTAGCTACATTGCATCTTTGAGAAAGAGGCTGTAGAGTGGAAAATATGTCCTCCTCCACAAGACTGAATAATTTTAAACTCTATCAGATTTGGAAAGATATGACAGCAATATCCCATTTTTAGTCTAACTTAACTTTTGTAAAGATAAAGCATAGCAGGAGTCTTCCTTGAGTGATAAAATAGACCAATAATCTTTCCAGCATCTTTAGCAATGGATTGTATATATGAGTTCTACTTGTGTTCTGGTATTAACTTTGGACTGAATAGACTTTCAAAGCATAGAGCCTCATCAAGGGTACAACCATTCATCATTACTTGAGGAAACTTTGATTAATGATGAAGCAATACTAGCTACTAAATAAGGGGCTGTTGTTATACTTGGATCTTGATAGTATATAAACTTTGTTTAAATGGATAAGTCTTTTTTAGACTGACAAGTTGAGAGATAACTACAAAAATATATACCTTTCTGATAATTAGTATGTGAAGTGTCTTATAAACAAGAATGATAGATTTCTATATCAGTATGTCTATGGATGGATTTCTCTGCTGCTAACCTAACAAAATTTGGAAATGAAATGTCACCTGAGCTTATATCAGAGAAACTTGTGAGGTGCTGCTCTTTGCTTAAAAATGATCTTGAACTGCAATTTCTTGTTTTACTTTATATATCTCTCCAGGTGTTAGAACATGAAGTTAGAAAAAAATAAGCCAAGACTTTTTCCTATATTTAACTAAACCTTCTCAATAATTTCTCATGTTGATGCCTGAAAAATGCTGAAAACTTTAGTTTCTGATTAGTTAGCATTTTTCAAATTTTAATTTTTTTTGACATTACTGTAAATGTTTTCTGTCATTGGGGTATAAAAAGGATGCTGTCACATGAACCTTTTACTATTTAACTTTTTAATCAAATAAAAAAATTTAAATATCTTCAGTCTTGCTTATTCAATTGGTACTATCGGTTGTACACTTAAATGAGACAGTACTGATCCAAAGAAACAACTGATTGCTGCCAGAAATGATTCATTGAAGAATTACAATTGGCCTGGTTTATTTTTCTTTGATTAAAAGGAAAATGTTGATTGCAATGTAACTGCAAATTGAGTCTCCACAGAACACTATTGATTGCTTTTGTGCCAGAAGCAAATAGTAATCTGGTCTGAGGTCGGAGAGAATTGTGTGAATCTTCTCTCTACATCTACATGCATAGCTTAGCTTCTTAATGTCTTATGTCAGTATTATTTCAAAGTATCTATTTCTTGTAAAGCAATATTTCTATGCATCTGTGCACAGATGTTTCATATTTAATCACCAGAACAGAAATAAGTATATATATATATGTATATGTCTTTGTAAATTTCATTTTTAATGCTCAAACATGTAATTTTGATGAAATTAAGTTTTCATTTATTAATTTTTATAAATTTCAGTTGTACATAACTTGATAGCTTGAGCATAAGTCTCTCTCTTTCTGTTGTGTGTGAAAAAATGTTTGTATTTATTAATTCCAAAATAAGTCAATTTTAGAATAACACCATTATCAAATACTAATTACCTTGCATTGTGTGAAATTTAATTTAACTGATCATTTCTTAGACTATTTCATGAATTTGTTTAGTTAATTTTGTTACTTTTTTAATTATAAATTGAAGATTTATGATATTTTTGAATTTATGAATATGGAAAATTGATATTGTGACTTCATTTTTGTTTAAAAAAAAAAACAAAACAAGTCTTTCAGCTTACAATTCTAACAGAATTTAAAAAAAAATCATTATCCAAAGAAAATTTTTAAAATCACTGACATTGGAAGAAATGGAGAAAAGATTTATTAGTAATAAGAATTCTTACCATCAATCTGCCAGGAATCTTACTTTTAAGCCAATTAATCATATAAATTTCACTGAATCCAAATACACACTACCTGGCCCAGAGATTGAACTCACAATTACTATGTCAGCAAATTCACAAACCAACTTGTCCCCGGACAATACTTAGTGTGTACTTGAACTTGGTGAAAACAAGACAAGATACACTTAGACATGGGCAGTGAAACAAGAACAGTCTACCTCTATAGATTAAATAAAGGGTTCAGTCTGGAATTTCCTGTAGGTTACCCAAATCGATATATGCCTGACAAAGGTTGGAGGGCACAATGATCAAAATGTTGTGATAACAACAAAGATGAGGACAAAAGCCTATATATAAACAGCGTAAATAATTAAAGACAATTTTTTATCCTTAAGTTCCAAATTTGCTATCAAAATGGATGTTATGTTTTTAAATAAGTTTAATATGGATAATTGATCACTGAAAAGTACTTTAAAAATTGTGGCTACTTGCCAAAAGAATAAACTTCAGCTAGAATAATATCCGCTTCTTTCTACTTCATTGTAGGATTATACCAGTTTTCTTTCTTTTAAACAATGTTTTTATAATAAATAACCTATATATATATATATATATATATATATATATATATATATATATATAGGCATGGTTCTGATCCTTTACCACTACTTTTTTTCTTTTCTCCAGGTCCAGCAACAGTGCGAATGGTTTCCAGTAATGGCCCACCCTTGCCTATGCCTATGCAGGTTGCCCCAGGCCACATGGTCCAGCAGATTGTGGATGAACATGGCATCCTGACAAATGTGATATTAGCCCCCCAGATGCCAGGAATGCCTCCAGGGACCCCCATGACGGTAGGATATTATGTATGTATTTATTATTCCTCTCTCTTCCAGCCATGTGTAACGTGCCCCACCCATGGAGACAGGTGGTGGCCTGCACGCAGCACATCACGTGCACTGTACCTGGTCAGTGGACCACCTAGGCCTCTTGCTGCTGCTGCTGCTGCTATTCTGATTCTTGTTCTTTCTCTCTATTCCTTCTCTTCTCTACTGTTGCTGTTAATAGTTATGATGTAAATAACTCATGCTCTTCTTGCTGTTGCATGATCATCATTATCAAGCAATAACTTCTTCTTACCCGAACTCAGCTCTTTACATTTTCCTCTGCCAAAAATTTAATTTGGATTTACTGCTCTCCTACTCTTAAAATTCTCATGTAGGTGAAAAAGGTGAGGAAATAAAACAAAACAAAAATTTTAAATTTCAGTCATTAATAAGATTTGATACTTTACTTTGCAGTTAAGATATTAAAAAAAAATAATAATTTCAAGCAATATTACCCAGAAAAGATGAGCCTTGTCTAGCAAGACTAGGCATTAATTCAAAGGTAACATCAGTAGGTTGATGTAGTCTATTCTGTAAATAACTTAGCAACTATTTTCTTTAGCTTAACAGTTGATATCTTGTCTTTTTTTTTAACTTTTATAAATCATTTCTTTATTTTGAAGATCATCTTTTCAATATTGATGCCTTTTATTGAAACATTATATTAAAGCTTTTACATTATAATTTGTAAATGTTCACACAGTTTTCTCAGGTATGTGGGGGCTAGGCTATGTTGTTATAGTTTCTATAAAGCAAGAAACCTTTATAATCCAAATTCTAAAATATTTCTTTTTCGTCTTCATAACCCATTGCATTCAGTCATCTTTTCAACAGAACTATCAACTAGATACCTCCAAAGATTCACCCAAAAATCACTGTACATGAAAAAATGCCCCAAGTTAAATAAAAACAGTTTTATCTTCAAATTCTTTGTTATTAAAAAGAAAGACCAAAAGATGTTTTGATTATATTTTTTAATCCTTTTTAGAATCTTCAAAATTTTGGTTAAATCTCTTTTTTTTTTTTTTTTTTTTTCTTGCATTAGCAGGTGACCATATGAGAAATTTTAGCATCTTTTTGCAGTGAAAAACACATTGATTTGGAAATTCTTGCCAAAATAAAATATTTGTCAGATAATAATGAAATTTTATTTACATTATTCAGACTATTGTCCTCATCTTTGTCGCCATATTTATCACAACGTTTTGGCCGTTGTACACTCCGGCCTTCTTCAGGTGGTTGGAATTTCGAACTGAACCCTTTATTTCGCTCACTGGGGTAGACTGTTCTAGTTCCACGTGCCATGTTTGATGGATGTCAGTTATCAGTTTTCTCCTGTTAATTTCCCTCTGAAAGTTCTCCACTGCCTTAACCGAGTATTGAACTCACACTCTTTGGGTCCTGTCACTGGATCTAACCAACGCCTTTATCCACTGTGCCATGTCCTGGGTATGAATTTCTGGGTATTATAAACCTAATGTCTTCAGCAACCATTTTGCTGTTATCATTCCATGTTTTTACCAGAGCTCATATTGCAACTATGTTGTTATTGTTTTTCTCTGGCACTCCTTATTACTGGTTCCCATATTGTATTTATTTCTATGCTTGGTTGGCTCAGGAGATTTTTGTGGCCTAGCATATGTGCTGATTCCTTAAGTTTACGAATTTTCCAATGGTGTTCCTTGTCAATGATCTCAACATGATCCCACAGAGGGCGGTGATCTCCCTTCTCTCTCCATATGTGGTCAGCCACGCCTGATTTTTCTACTTCCCCTCATGTTACAGCTTTCTGGTGTACTTGAAGCCTTACTTGAGGGGACGTCCTGTCTCTCCTTTATATTCCTTTCCGCAGCTGCACGGGATAGCGTACACACAGTCTTTAGTCATGTTCTCCTCTATGGGGTGGGGGGCTTACTCGGGAGAGATATCTGCGAAGTGTCGTCAAGCTTTTGAAGGTTGTCCTGATGTTATATGGACCACAGATCCTTTGTATTTTCTCTGATAACCCTTTCACATAAGGTAGACTGTTTTCTGAGTGTTCTTGTCCTCTTCCTCTTGTACCCACCTATCCCAGTTTTTGGGGGCTGCTGCCATGTACCCAGGGTAGTTGTTACGTTGTAGGGTACTACTTATACTGACCAATTCTTTATCTAATGTCTCTGGGTCGCCACTTATGACTTTTGCTCGGTGTTGTAAGCAATGAACGATCCCTTTCTTTACGCTGTATGGATGGTGGGAGTTGAAATTGCGGTACTGTCCGGTGAATGTGGTTTATGGTATACAGATGTCTTAAACCCATGCTCTGTTCGAGATATTAGAACATCCAGGAATGGGAGTGTGTTGTTACTCTCTTTCTCCATTGTGAACTGTATCGAAGGTCTTATTGAGTTCACATGGTCCAGTAGAACCTGAACATCTTCCTGGTGTGGCCAGAGTATGAAGGTGTCATCTACGTACCTTAGCCATATAGTTGGCTTTAGAGATTCTAATGCCATTTCCTCAAAGTATTCCATGTATATATTCGCCATTGCTGGTGACAATGGCGAGCCCATTGCTAAGCCCTCATCCTGTCGATATATGTGTGATCCCATTCCGAAGTGTGTTGTTTGTGTACAGAAAGTCAACATCTCCATCAGATTATCTATTGGAATACTTGTCCGTTCTTCTAGGGAAGAGTCAGGCCAATCTGTCTCTGACTACTGAGAGTGCCTCCTCCATGGGTACCTTGGTGAACAAACTCACCACGTCCAAGCTCACCATCTGGTTGGATAGGATGGTAGCATCTTTGATTATTTCCACGAAGTGGGCGGAGTTTCGGACATATGAAGGAGACTTTCCGATCAATGGGTCAATTATATCTACAAGGAAGCGACTCAGAGGGTGGCACACCAAGCCTTGGCAACTAACAATCGGCCTGAGCGGAATAATGAAACTTTGAGGATTTATTCACAAATGAACAAAATTTTAGAAATGTTTCTTTTTTAGAAAATTAATTTTATGAAATTTCAAGATATTCATTTTTGTACTGCTCAGTGTTTGTATTAGTTATAAGCACATGTTCTTGGAGAATTTAAATCATCAATTTTTTTTTTGTAAAACAGGAACCCCAGTTACTGAAAATCTGCTATTAATTGTAAAATTAAAAATGCAATAAAACTAAGACATTATTTAATTAGAAAAGTTTTTAATTACTTTTATGGGCCCTATTGTTTAAAAAAAAAAAAAAAAAAACTTGATGTATAATGAATTTTTACAAGAATTGTTTTCATTTTTTCAATTTTTATTAGTACAATATATAAATCTTTTAAAATTCTATCTTAATACCAATAACACCTTACCACTATAAATTAAATAAGCGAAAATATAATTAATCATAAATGGAAAATCTTGCAACAATTCGGCAAAAGCCCCATGTATTTTTAAAGAGGTTTAAATTATTTTGTGTGTATAAATGTACCAATTTTTTGCAAATACAGACATCAATGTACAACATTATCAGAAAATAAGACCAGCAACTATGTAAATTTAAAGTGTTTTCAGAAGTAATACTATAAAGCCAAAGTACCTAAAATTCAATAAAATATTAGACTACATAGAATATTTTTCTAAATTGTTAAAAAAGACACTCACGTTATACTCATCAAGTAATTTTTACTGTGCCCCTGTAGGAAAAATTCACAAATATAATTTTATAGAAAACGCTGTCATAAAAACATTCACCCCCATTTTAAAAGATGCTTTTTTGCGATATTTTAAACTAAAAGTAAGCAATATTTGTTTCAAATAAGATTAATTAAACTTTAATTTTCCTCAAAGTTTCAGAAAAGTATATTTTCTTTTTAAACAATTTTCTAATAAAGCGAATAATATTGTGACAACAGATTCACCAAAAAGGCTGATTTTTAGTAATTTTAACAATTTAAAAAAAGATTTCCAATCAACTTAAATTCAATTTTAAACGATTTATTTTTCTTATTGGAATTATTAAATTTAATCTATAAGCTTGAAATTAAAACCAAAAGCTTCGAGAAAGATTTTTCATTTTTAAAAATGCATTTTAAACCTTAGATATTGTTTTTTCTTTGGAGGTATCTACATTATAGCGAGTCAATTTTTTGTAACCTTCTGCTTATGATTTGTGCCATTTTATGAACCTTAATTTTTATTATCCTATTCAAAGTAACAATAACAAATCTTACATTAAAGTTTTTTTGGCACCCACAGTAAATGGTAATTATGTGCTTACCTTTAGCCATTAAATTCTGCTCCTGAAGATATTGAGGTTTTAAGTGGTTTTGATGTCATTTAAATATTTCTAAGATTGTAAACTTCACTGACAATAAAGATCTTGTTTTGAGGTACATTCAAACTGTAAATGACAGGTTGCAGCAATAAACTTGTCAAATTTTGAAGTTTATAAAAAATTCATAAGTCTTGTTTTATAATCCAGATGTGAAAATATAAATGCCTGATCTATTTATATATTTGTTTCTCTATTCTTTTACATATCCATCGCTTTGTTAAATGACAAGAACCTGAAAATCACCATAATTTATAATTATTTTCAAAAAATTCCCTTATTTTGCTGTAGATTTTTATTTTTGTAATTTCCAACTTATTTGTTTAGCAATTAAATGACTAAAGACATTTTTTGCCATTTAAACTTAATCTTGGAATGATACATTTGTATTTAATAATGAACATTTTATAAATTTAAAATCTTGAAAGAATATAAACTCACTTTATAAATATCTGCATTAAATTCTTTACTTTAATTTTTAAGATATTGAATCTATTAAAGAGTGTGTGTGTATATATATATATATATATATATATATAGTACAAATGATACTATTAAATTAAGAGAAAAGACCTTTTTAAAATTGATTCCTAAAAGCAGTTTTTATATTTCCCTCCAATGTATTTTATGCTAAAATGGTCAAATAACTTAACATTCTTTTGGGCTC